AAAATGAACCAATTTGGCGAATTTTTTCTTTTCCAATACATGAAAGACACCCTTCTGTAGTCCATTTGACAAAGAAGTAGAAAATGGACAAAGAGCGTATTTCAACCCAGTTAATGCTGTTGATAGAGCGGCGCATCCACTCCAAAATATTAACAAGTTTATTTTCAATTTGTCAAAGAGATGATTTAGCCCGTACTTTAATGTATGCTGATATGCCGCGCTATTACACATGAAACACATCATCAAAGTCGTTTCAACGTCGTAAAAAAGGAGCACCGGTTGAATGATATCTAAATGTATTTGCTACATGTGCTATAGGGCGCATTTATACAGTACATCCAAATAATGATGAGTAACACTACCTTAGGTTATTATTAGTTAATGTTCCTAGAACGACATTATTTCAACAATTGAAAACGGTTGATGAATATCTATGTGCGACTTACCATGAAGCATGTCACATGTTACAGTTGCTTGAAGACGATTCTCATTGGGATAATAAGCTCAAGGATGACATCATATCCTCATCTTCGCATCAAGTGTGTACATTGTTTGCGATTATAATTCCAACATGTTTTTCCTCAAATCTGGAAGATTTGTGGATCAAATACAGAGATGACATGTCTGAAGATATTTTACATAGTGCGCGTTGTCAAACATTCAATCCGGCACTACAAATTACTGCAGAAATTTATAATAAAACTTTGATCATGATAGAGGATATATGTTTATTGATGGCAAATAAAGTATTATCATGTTTGGGCCTGACAGCACCAAACCGTTGTGTTCGATATGCATTTAAACATGAGTTAAGAAAAGAGCAACAGTATGATATTGAAACATTGACCAAACTAGTTTGCACAGCTATTCCAAAGTTGAATGATCATCAAAGGATTATATATGATGATTTAATACAAGCTGTGAACAGTGGATCTGGGGGGATTTTTTTTCTTGATTCTCCTGGTGGTACTCGAAAAACATTCCTGATATCATTGCTATTGGCAAAGATCAGATCGCAAAATGACGTAGCTCTAGCATTGGCTTCATCAGGAATAGCTGCAACATTGTTAGAAGGCGGCCGAACTGCACATTCAGCATCGAAGTTACCTCTGAATATGCAAAATGAAACACCAATTTGCAATATCAGAAAAACTAGCGCCATGGCCAAGATACTTCAGACATGCAAATTGATTATCTGAGACGAATGTACAATGGCCCACAAGAGGTCACTGGAAGCACTGGACAGAACTTTACGTGGCATTTTCAAAACATTTTGGGTGGAGCAATGATTTTGTTGTCAGGTGATTTTCGCCAAACTCTTTCAGTTATACCTCGATCAACTGTTGCTGACGAACTGAACACAAGTTTAAAATCATCAAATTTGTGGCGTCTCGTTAAGAAACTCCAGTTAATAACGAACGTGCGAGTGGTTTTGCAACAAGATGAAACAGCAAACGTGTTTTCAAAGCAGTTACTACTAAATATTAGAAATGGTAATGTCGCAGTTGATGTTTCGAACGGGCTAATAACACTTCCTGCAGATTTTTGCTACTTCACAAACATGAAGGAAGGGCTTATTCAATGCGTATTTCCGGATATAAACCAACAATTTTATGATCTCAATAGGCTGAGTGAACGAGCAATATTGACGGCAATAAATAAAGATGTCGATGATCTCAATGCAACAATTCAGAATTTACTTCCAGGGGAGTGCGCTTTACTTATAAATCCATAGATACCGCTACAAATTGAAAGTAGCATCAGTTTTCATTATGCTTCGTAATATAAATCAGCCCAAACTATGCAATTGAACAAGGCTGGCTATGTAAAAGCTAATGAATAATGTCATCGTGGCAAAAATCATTAAGGGAAAATACAATGGACAAGATATCTTGATCCCGCGTATACCGATGATCCTAACGGATTTACCATTTGATTTACGGCGTTTACAATTTCCAATACGCCTCGCTTTTGCAATGAGCATCAATAAATCGCAAGGACAGTCGCTGCAGGTTTGCATATCAACTTAGAGTTTCCATGTTTCGCCAGGAACATAGAAAAAATGGATGGCTTACACATTTAAATTTTTCCTATGTTCCTACTGCGCATGATCGCTGGGAAATTCTTCGTAATTGTAACCACTAAAATTCTCTCTATCCCGTTCTCTCATCCAATGACAATACAATTTTCACTATTTTCCGCTGCAAACACGTAGGCCCACAGTTTACTCTCGTTACACACACGTAACACGGTCTCCAAACTAACAACATGTTTTTTTGGAATAAGCTTTTTTATAATAAAACATATTATTTATTTTAATTTTACAATTTTCAAAATCTTCATAACTTGACGTCTTTTAAATTTTTTATTTCATATTTATTTTTTTCGTTGCAATTTTGTGTTGTTCTTTGTGTTATTTTTTAAAATTTATTTGTATGGTGAGTTTCTTTACATTTGTTTATTTTATGTTTGTTTTTCATATATACTTTTCATATACATTGTTCTACTTATTTTTGTCTGTAATTATGTATATTTTATATTGTTTTAATTTGTAACCCTGATATATTTATTTGTAGCACTGATGATGGGTCAAATGTAGACCCGAAACGTATGTTCCCTTAATAAAAACATTTTTCAATAAAACTGTTTTTTAATTATTGGATGGATGCCCAAGAAACAATTTTATAATATATATATATATATATATATAAGCTGATTTAAAATCTGCAAACCATTTTTTTGTATCAGCTCTAGTTGGGAACTTGGAAAGAAGTTGCCGAAACCAGGTCCATTGTAGGTCATCACGGAAAATAACTTTTCACAGTGTCAACTAATGTCCCAACTAAGGCCGAATGGGTCTTGTAAGTTTGTATGCACGAGTGGCATATCTCATTCAAATAACATTCTGAATTGTATTACTGTTTTGTACTTTCATTCCTTATATATCGTATATATCACATCTTAAAAACTTAAGCTCATAGAAAAAAATCAATGCCATTTTCAAAATCAGCGCCCCAAATATACTTAAAAACAGCATTAAAATCGAAATGCTGCCCGATGTCAGATTGCCAGAGCGGGGATTCGAACGTGCAACCCTATCCAAACAAAGTCAACGCATTAACGATCTTGGCCACGACAAATACATATGTATAGTTACGACAAATCCATATATGTATATGTATACATATATTGAATGGTGGAATGGTTGAAATGATGGAACGTACCTAGTTCCGAAACGTCGACAATAAACAAATAATTAAATAAAGAAATTGTTTTTTTAAAAACTTTTCTTGTTTTTTATTTTGTATTATTTTTGGATTCTTGTTCGAAACTCTACAAAGTATACATATATATATATATATATATATATATATATATATATATATATATATATATATATATATATATATAAATGGATGTATGTGTGTGTATGTATGTATATATGCGCGAATACGAATTTTCGGTGACGATTTTGTGAACACGAATCAACGAGTTTGAAAAGTTTAAAAAACAATTGATTAAAATTTATAAAACTTTTAAAGAATTTAAATTACAGCACGGAAAGTTTCAGCAACTTGCCTTAAGGCACGATGCCATGCATCACTAGTCAATTTTAATTGGAAAGAAGGGGGGCCTCGCAAACGAATTTCGCCGACGCCTACGAATGGTCTATCACCGCCACTGTATGTATGGATACAATTACTCGTCCACGTTTTTGGGCGCACGGATCAACCGATTTGAATGATTCAAAAAACATTCAATTCTTATTGATAGGGAAATGTACTGATTAGATTTTGGCAAAGGCAGGTCCAGCCGTTTCGAAGATACAAGGCTAAATGGGCAAAAAATTACAGTTTTTAAGAGAACTAAACGTCCGATTAGAATGATTCAAAAAAGTTTCTGCTTATGTTGACGAAACAATTGCTTTTGGAAAAAAAATTCATTTCAATTCTTTTTTTGTATATCGAAAATAATTCAGAGCGCTGTGCGACAAAATTTGTAAACCACCGCTTAAATCTATCCTTCTTCAACTATATAGTCAATGATTTTAAATTTTGGCGCCATTAGATATATTTCTAATGTCGTCCAACCTGAACGAAGAAGAAGTGTCATGGTTCAACAAGAAATTAATTCATTTTGGGATCGTACTTCGAGCCGAAAACATCATAATTCCAAAAAGGTAAGTGTTAGTATTATATTATGTTAAAAAAAACGAATTAATAAATATTAAAGCATATTTACTATCCATTTATAGGACTTGCGTTAACTGTTGAGAATTAAAAAACATTGAAAATGTCCGATAACTTGAACATCCCAACATATGAAATTTGTAGTAAAATTTTTACTTCAAAATACAACTTAAATAGACATAAAGTGATTCACATGGACGCATTACCATTTAAATGTAATGTTCGCCATAAAACATTTTTACAGAAAATGATATTAAAAAGACACGAAAAGATCCATAGTGATGATCGTCCGTTTGAGTGTAATATTTGCTACGAATCCTTCAGAAAGAAGTTTTATTTAAACAGACATCTAAAAAACTCATGCTGCTGATATGCCTTTTAAATGTAGTATATGCGATGAAATGTTTTTGAATAAAATCACATTGTTAGAACATAGAACAACACATGCCGTAGAACGCCCTTTTAAATGCCAAACTTGCAACAAAACATTTACAAGAAATTTTAACTTAAAACAGCATTCCAGAATACATTCAGAGGAACGACCATTCGAATGTAATTTATGCAATAAAAATTTCAAACAAAAGGTGATAATAAAGCATAAAAAAATTCATTGGAATGAATATCCGTGTGAATGCAATTTCTGCAAAAAGGCATTTAAAACAAAGGGCAACCTTAAACAACATGTAAATGTAAAGGCGAAAAAGCGGTTTAAATGTGGTACATGTGATAGAAGTTTTAAGCAAAAAATCGCGCAAAAAGAGCACGAGAAGGTTCATACAAATGAACGCCCTCATAAATGCAATACTTGCAACAAGACCTTCAAAACGAAATGGAATCTGACGCAGCATGAGAGAATTCATATGGACGAAAAACCCTTTAAGTGCGAAATATGTCAAAAGCAGTTCACGCAAAAAAAGACATTAAAACAACACCGAATAGTGCATCTCAAATAATAACACCGATAATTGTGATTTTACCATTATTCAATTTATATTTATAATTTTCCAAGAATTACATTAATTTATTATTAGTTATTTATTATTTACTTATGTATATTTATATATTATTTTCATATCTGTCAGACAGGGGTATGAGTGATTATGTAAAGTTTTCATTTTGTATATACATATTATTTGACTATGTCATTATTATAATATGTATTATAATCAATATATCTTTATATAACGGTTCTATTTTAACAGTTGTGAAAAAAAAATTCGAAATACATACTATTTATTTAAAATTATTAACAATTCTTTAATCAATTTGTTATTATGAAATGTTGGTTTTCTTTCAGGAATATGTTTGACTATTCAATTAATTGAAATAGCATTTTTATTAATACACTGAATTAGTTGTGGGATATTAATTGCAATTTATGCAATAAATATTTTAGTCACAAATCTGTTACTTTGTTTATTGTATTGTATTGTATAACAAATGTTTAAATAATCAATAATATAATATTGTAATTGTTTTCTATCATTTCAGTCAAAAATAAATATATACTCGTATACAGTTGCAAGGTTTTAGAGACTAAAATATTTCTTGTCATCAGAGTAAAAACGCCTTTTAAATTACTGTGTTAGGCTACCTATGAGGCACAGACCATTTTGTAAACAAATCACTCAGTTTGCACCGAAACGTTGGATAGATTAGATATAGCAGTGATATACAGTATTGTATTTCAAAAATAATTATTAGTTATTTTAAAAGTATTTTTAGCCTTTTTCTTTGCTATATAGTTTTGTTTTTTGAAAATAAAGGTGATTTTAGAAAATCTTAAACATTTTCATCAACATCTTTCTCAAACAATATACTACTGACTAATCAGTGGCATGTTCTAAATACGAGAAAAAGAAAATGAGATTGTATAGTCTGTCCAAAACCTTGTGGCTTAAGACAAATTGCTAGAACTTCCCGTACCATAATTAAACATTCGAAGAATGAAAATAATCAATAATTGTTTTGAAGATTTTCAAATAGATTATTTATTATAAATACATACA